TTTTTGGTGGGGATGGGAAGGTGGAGAGGATGATGAATAAGATGCAGTCTTTGCCCTGAAGTCTAGAGAAGAAAATAATCAGATTATACTCAAAGCTCAAATGTGTAAGTATTGGGAAGATACAGTGAAGAGTACCTAACACAACTTTGGTGGCCAAAGAGGGGCACAGCAAGGTTACAAAGGAAGGCTTCCTATGACAGTAACATCTGGAGCTTGACCTCAAAGGAATTTGGTTAGAGGAAAGAGAAGTATTCACACTAAAAGAGGCTGCAGAGGAAAAGACACTAACAGATACAAATCAAACCACCCTGAAATACCATTTTTTCACCTCCCAGCTTGGTAAAACTCCAAAATGTGATAAACTTCTTGTGGAATAACAGTAACTTTCATCCATTGCTGGGGAAGGTATACATTGGTACAGCCTTAAAGGGAAGAAATTTAGCAATACCCATTAAAATTTCAAATGTACATGCCTTTTGACTCAGCAATTCCACTTTTAGGTATTTATCTTAGAGCCTGGTTCACACATACATAAATTAACACACACGTTACTCACTATAGAATGTATTTTAATGTTAATTTGGGGGGGGGGGTAGGGAGAGACAGTGTGCATGCATGCAAGCGGGGGAGGGGTAGAGACATTGGGGGGGGGGTGGACAGAAGATCCAAAGTGGGCTCTGCACTGACAGCAGCGAGACCAATGTGGGGCTCAAACTCACAAATCTGAGATCATGACCTGAGCCAAAATCAGAAGCTTAACAGAATGAGCCCCCCAGGCACCCCCATTACAGAATGTATTTTAATAAATTAAGACATGCACACAATGGACTCCTACACATACTATTTTAAAGAAAGAACAAGGTGCAGAATAGCTTAAATAGTATGTTATCAGTAAGTAAAAAGGGGTGGGACAAATAAAAATAATATTTCATTGTGTTGATTTGTATGTATGGATTATTTCTGGAAGGAAACACAAGAAACTGATAACACTGGCTACTTCCAGGGACAAAAACACAGTGCCCAGTAACAAGAATAAGAGACTTTTCATTGTATAGCCTTCTGTATCTTTTACATTTTGAACATTTTAATGCACTAATCCATAAATACATAAAATTAAATCAGCACAGCACCTAATGAAAATTAAAACAGTTTGAAATTAGTGGAAAATGAAGTTCGAGACAAAAACTGATTAGAAATAAAGCTCAACAGGCATACAGGAGCCAGTTCATGAAGGGCCTTGTTTGGCATACTAAGTAAGGATCATGAAGGTTCCCATAGAGCAGTGTTTCTCAAAGTGTGACCTGGGGACCACCTGCAAACCTGGAGAGCTTATTAAAAATGAAGTCCCCTGGACAGAGCCAACAACCTTAAGGGTGTGTGGTTGATAAAGGCAGAGTCTGGAGTCTCCACAAACTGAATCAGAATCTTGGGGTGCAAAGGTTCAGGCATCTGCATTTTAACAAACTTCCTAGGTGACTCTACAGGTTATGGGGAGCTTTTGAGTAGTTCTAAGCAGAGGAGTAAACTGGCCAGATGTTCACTTTAGATAGACCACTCTGGTGCCTGTATCTGAAAGATTTGAGAGGAGTGAGACTCTGTTAGAAAGCCCTGGAGGTACTCCAGATCATGTTCTTTAATTTGATAAATATTCATATACACTACATTCATTGCATACCATGTGGCAAAAGTATTACCTGCCCAAGAACCACAACCTAAGCTACACCATCACTGCAGGAAACACTGTTAAGGGAAACAAAATCCAAGGTGCTAGGATCTCCCAAATATGTTAGGAAGGTAATAACTATGAATAATTTAATCCAGTAATAAAGGGACTGCTAAATGAAATTATTCCATCCCATTATAAAGATTAAAAAACAACAACAACAACTAGGAGTGCCTGCAGGGGTGGCTAGGTTGGTTAAGTGACTCTTGGTTCCAGCTCAAGTCATGATCTCACAGTTCCTGGAGAGCAGAGCCTGCTTGAGATGCTCTCTTTGCTTCTCTCTCTGCCCCTCCTCTGCTTATGCACGCACACACACACACCCATACACACACCCAAACTTTAAATAAATAAATAAATAAATAAGGCAACCATTAAAGGGAGTTGCGGTGGAGGGAGAGAAGGGTGGAAATTGTTCATGTCTCATTTAGTATATATTAAAATAGTTTTCAATAAAACCTTCTCTTTGGCCAATAAGGCATGTTTACAATGGCAAAACCCTTTCCAATCATCTTTGATTCATCTAAAGATCTAATTTGTTGAGTGTCATGGACCCTATAAATAAAAGTTCCACATCTGCCAACAGCTATATCTCTTATGATGTAAGTAAATTGGAATAATAGTTTAATTATCCCTTGCAAGGTAATGAGCCAGCAGAGGTAAAATCCTACACCAGAAATTCACAGGAAACATCACTGCACGAATTAAAAATAAAGCAACGCCACCAATAAAAGTGAAAGACCAAGCTTCAAAGATTTAACCCTATTTTGTACACGCTTTATCAACTAAGAAGTATTTCTTCTACTTAAGTAACCCATGAGGCTTTGGGGTATAAGATTATACTGGCACTCCATCCTTCATCTTCTATTTGCATTTTAACAACCTAACAGAGACCTATTCTGCAACAAAACCACCACCTCCACAACAAAAGAGAACCCTCTGGTATAAAACTTCAGGTTACCATGACACTATAGACACCAGAGGTAAGGTGCCAGAGACTAAAGTAAGCACATGGCCACTTTCTTTTGTACTCAATTCACATTATTCATATATCTTAGTATCTTTTACCCCAGCAAAACAGCAAACAATATTAGCCAGCTTATCAGTCCTACTACAGAGTCCCATTTTAGAAAAACTTTACACAGCCCCATATTTGGCCTCAACTCCATCTACTGCTATTCCATTCTGAATACTGGCTTTAATGTTAATGGTAAACTCAAATCAGTAAGGAACTAATCCAATATAATGTAACTGAAATGACAACGACTATTTCACTGCCTTGAGATTACAAAACCATGTGTTCTATAGTACAGAAGTTTTAACGCTAAGTTTTCTTCTCCCAAACAGCATTACCTAGCAAAAGACAAATATTTACCTATTAGAGATTTCTCTTTAGATACCCATAGTGGGTACACTATGTAGTTCAATTTCTAAAGACTTATTGATCTGCCTACATTTAAAATGTTTTGATTAGTGGCAATCTAATTCAGAGGTCCCAGAATTAACCTAATTTAGAGGACACTCATCTTCCTGAGGCCTTGAAAAATCATCCAGAGTTTCAAAACGCCAGCACGAAAAAGAGCCTGTAGAGGCTATCTAGTCCAGCCTACTGTTTCATATACTGAACTAGGTGAAAGCACTTTTAAAACCTGACAGTACTACAAAAAGGTATCATTTTCATGCATGAGGCCCAGAGAAGTTAAAAAGACTGATAGGAAGTTAACCACACAAACTGGGCCTAGAACCCCAAGCTCCTAAATCCCAATCCCACACTCCAAACATGCCAATGGAGTGTACTACTTTAAACTGCTGCGAGGGGCTTTGATAAAATTGTATAGAAAACATTTTTATACATATGTTTGACAATTTCTAAAAAGTAGATCTTGCAAAACTGGGAGTACAATCCAAGGGACACACCTCTTTCCCAGAACAGAAACAATGTGCTTGCCTCTGACATTATTCCCTGCCTCATCCCCAATTTCACTCCCTGACAAAACATAACTACTCCCAACTTCCTACTCAAATTAACTGATTTACTTTTTAAAATGATACAACTGTCTTCTATAAATCGCTACATCTTCACTGAGAGGAAACACACCTGCACCTAGCACCTCCATTAAAGGAAAATAGGGACCCTGCTCAATTAACTCATTGAAGAATCAAGAAGTTTAATGCTGAAAACAGACTATATTTAAGCAGTGAGGATTTACAATTTCATTTTGATACCTCTGCAAAATATTACGAAAAAATCTGAAGATTACAAACCATACCAGAAGTTTAAAACAAGCTGTCCACTCTTACACAGAATTCTACAAGATTATGGTTATAAGCATGTATAACTCCAGAGCCTTTGGGGCCACAGTATCAACAATTAGAGATTTCCATATTGTTCATGGTAGCATCTTCACTCCCCTTTTCCTAGAGTTGGTGGATAGGGAGCGTGGGTTCAGAAGTTTCAAAAGGAGAGGGAAGAGAGAAGATATTCAGGGCTTTTTCTTGGATGGATTTATATACTTCTGCAAACATGTTACTATCTGTACCAAATACAGTCTCTTGTGGAGATACTATGTTATAGACGTAGGCTCTTTATTTCATAATTGCCAGATTCACCTGCCTTCTGTCCTGCCCTTTCTACTTAATAACACAAAGTCAAATGTTCTCCCTCGCTAACCTCTGAACTCAAAACACGTGTGCTTTTAAAGCAAGCTTGTGGAACCTTGTCTGACGACCACGTTCCATCACGGAAAAGGCTCGCCCAGACCGGCTTTCTGGAGTATCCCAGGCCTAGCAGTCCTGCGGAGTAAAAGGGGGTGTGTCCGCGGTACCTTCGTCCTCTCTCCCACTTCCCGCAGCGGCGCCCGGGGGGGGGGGGGGGGGGCTTTTTCTCGGGGAGGCTTGGGGAGCGGTTTCCAGGGCGTCCAGACCTCAGCCACTGGCCCACCTTTCTCGGGGCTGTTGTTGATAATCCCCAAAGGGAGAATAGGGAGTGGGGCTAGTGAGGGCGCAAATGAATCCCCAAACCCTTCCCACTGGGAGCCCCTGCCCCCCCAAGTCTTCCTCCCCGTCTTGGGGGGGGGGGGTCTCTGCAGTTTCAATGACCCCCCCCCTCAGCATACACAGAGGGCGGGGGTCTCTGAGCGAAGCCAGAAGGATGGAGGGCAGCGAGGGGGGAAGGCTGGGCATTTAGGGCGCCGGGGTAGAAGGGTCATCCCGAGAGGTCTCCGCCACACCAAAAAGCCGGGGTCGAGCACACACAACCGCGGGGGCCGCAGGGACCCACCAGCTGCTTCAGATCCTCCTCCGAAAGCTCCGCGTAACGGTACCGCTGCTGCTCGAACTCATACCGGGTGGTTTTGGCCACCACCACCACCCGCGAGGGGCGGAAGCCGCCTTCGGGGCGGCTGCCACAGCCCGCCAGCTCGCGCAGCTGCCCCTGCCCCAGGTGTCGCCGGCCGCCGCCGTCACCGCAGAGCCGCGGCCGCGCGGCGGGGCCTCCCGCGCCCGGCCCCCTCAGCACCGCCGCCCGGCCGCCTGCCACACGCCGACAGCTGCCCAGCAGGAAGCCTCGGTAGCAAGTCATCCTCCGCCCGGCGGGGCTGCAGGCCCGGGCTGCCGCCACCAACAGTGCGCGCGGCCCGCGCAGACCCGGCCTCTAACTCCGCGCCGGGCGGGCAGAGGTTAAGAGCACTACAGTGCGTGGCCCGCGCCGCGAGGGGGACGTGCCCAGACGTTGACGGGGGCGGGGAAAACCCGGCGACTGGGAGGAGGGAGAGCCCGAGCCAGGGAAAGGTGGGCGGGGAAGAGCTAGAGGCCTCAGGGTGGTGGGTTTTGTTTGTTTGTGTATCCGTTTCCATCCACGCCTGCGCAGTGGCTGCTTCGACACCCGGGGGCCGACTCCAGCTCCACCCCCTTCCCTGGGTGGGCACCAAACCCACACGCCCGCCCCCAACTCTGTGAACCAATCAGAGCCCGCTGCGGTTTCGGAGCCTGAGGAGCTGCGGGGGTTGGCTGTGGCCAGAAGAAGGGCTGGGATTCTATTTGGCGATAGAGCTGCCTTAGGAATCCAGCTGGAACCGGTCTGAAGCGGCGCGGGGGACTGCGGGTGGGGTTTCGAGCTCCTGGCGGGAGAGCAGGTGCCTGTAAGCGCCTCCTTGCCTGGGCTTCTTTATTGCTCTTGAACAGACCACATAAAACCACTCTTTAATCATGGCACATAAGACTGCATTCTTTATCCCTTCGTTCAACTAAGTCTAGGCAGATGGCCAATATGACCAACACTCGGCTGGGGGGGGGGGGGGGGGGGGGGGGCAAGGAAACTGACCAAAGACCATGTGCATAAATTGTGGGGCCTAGTGCTAAATGAAAATGCGAGCTTCTTGTTCAGAAATTATCAAGAATTTCAAGACCGAGAGCGGTAAGCCGGGTCCCCGGCCCATCTAAGCATGGCGCCCGTGGGACTGCACAAGTTACAGCGTCTGCTGACAACCAAAAAACTATCAGTCCGGAGGGAGACAGGTAGCCACTGAGGAAATTAGAGGATAGCGGGTAGAGGAATCGCCAAGTGAAGCATTTCTGGATGGGGAGAGAACGTTGAAAAGGTAGCTAGGACAAGAGAGAAAGCTTAAGAATGTTAGTAATTTGGACTTTAGTCTATAGGCAGTCGTGGCCTTGAAAGCTTGAAATCTTGAAAGCTTTTAACTGGAAAGATGCGAGTCCTGAAAACAATGTTTGAGGACTGTTGATCTGGCTTGGGACTATTGAGTGGATTGGGAGGCAGGGGTAGGAAGGAGACTTGGCACTGTTGGAATAGTTAGACGTGGCCCTAGGTTGAGTTAGTGGTAATGGACGTGCAAGAAAATGCTCGCATGATAAGGGGAGAGTCAAATGGCAGTCCACATCCTACTGTTACCCTAATGCTCCTCACATGCACTTGCTTTGGCTCCCTCTTTGCTTCTTTAGAGTCCTAGCACTATCAATAACTAGTCTGTGGACTTTGGGAAGGTTGCTAACTCTTTCTGGGCCTCGGATTCCACATCGGTAAAATGAAGATACTGAACTAGAGTGGCACCAAGGCTCTATCAAGCCCAAATTGATTCTGAATCTGGGCTCTTCCTTTTCAGCTAGCCACCACCACCACCATTTATTCATGGGTTCCCTGAATATTTATAGAATCCCTAATGTGTGCCGGGTACTATATTATTAGGAAATATACAATTGAGTCTGATAGATGTCTACTTTTAAAGTATTTTTTAAATGTTTATTTATTTTTGAGAGACAGAAGGAGACAGAGCATGAGTGGGGGGAGGGGAGGGGCAGAGAGAGAGGGAGACACAAATCTGAAGCAGGCTACGGGCTCTGAGCTGTCAGCACAGAACCCAACGTGGGGCTTGAACTCACGAACTGTGAGGTCATGACCTGAGCTGAAGTCGGACATTTAATTGACTGAACCACCCAGCCACCACGCAGTATTTTTTAATGTTATTTTTTTGAGAGAGAAAGCATATGGAAGGGCAGAGGGAGAGTGAGAGTCTCAAGCAGGCTTCACGCTGTGGGTGCAGAGCCCAACATGGGCTCAAACTCACAAATGGTGAAATCATGACCTGAGCCAAAATCCAGAGCCAGACACTTAGTCAACTGAGCCACCTAGGCGCCCCAGATGTCTTTTAGTAGGTCACTGGCCAGGAACGTTGCCTCACAGCAGGTGCTAATAGTGACTTGTAGTGGAAATTTAAGCACATCTCTTAATTTCTATGGGATGTGAGTTACTCATTTTTTTATTTCTTTTTCTTTTTTTTTAAATTTTTTATGTTTATTTTTGAGAGAGACAGAGTGTGAGTCAGGAGAGGGGCAGAGAGAGAGAGGGAGACACAGAATCTGAAACAGGCTCCAGACTCTGAGGTGTCAGCACAGAGCCTGACGCGGGGCTGGAATGCACAAACCGTGAGATCATGACCCTAGCCGAAGTCAGACGCTCAACCGACTGAGCCACCCAGGCACTCCTGTGAGTTACTCATTTATAACTTGAACATCCTCAAGGTCCTTTCTCTTCTCACTATTCCAACACTGTTATAGTAAGGATTTCTAGAGAGGAAACAGCATGAACAAAAGTATGGAGAATGAAATAGCAGTTCTGAATTCCTAAAGAATTTAGAGGGAGGCAAGCAACAATGAAAGGTGAGGCTAGAGAGGCAGATTACTATAAAAGGTGGATGGGGGTGTTTATAGCAGCACTATCAACAATAGCCAAAGTATGGAAAGAGCCCAATGTCCATAGATGAATGAATGGATAAAGAAGATGTGGTATATATACACAATGGAGTATTACTCGGCAATCAAAAAGAATGAAACCTTGCCATTTGCAACTACGTGGATGGAACTGGAGGGTATTATGCTAAGTGAAATTAGTCAGAGAAAGACAAAAATCATATGACTTCACTCATATGAGGACTTTAAGAGACAAAACAGATGAACATAAAGGAAAGGAAAAAAATAATTAAAACAGGGAGGTGGACAAAAGCTCATAATGAGGTGGACAAAACCTCATTATGAGAAGAGACTTATAAATATGGACAACAGAGGGTTACTGGAGGGGTTGTGGGAGGGGGGATGGGCTAAATGGGTAAGGGGCATTAAGGAATCTACTCCTGAAATCATTGTTGCACTATATGCTAACTAATTTGGATGTAAATTTAAAAAATAAAAAATAAAACAAGTTAAAAAAAAAAAGGCAGATGGGGGAAAAACATGGAAGATGTTATATCCATGCTTAGGAACTTGGCTTTTATCCTGTATATGCTAAGAAGCCACTAAAAGGGGAAAATGACATGCTTAGCTTTGCAAATATTATTTATGAACAGGAATTTCTTAGAAGAAACAAGCAGAGAATAAATATCTGAAATATACTCAACCAAAATACAAATTAAGGTAATTTCACTGAAATAGTCTTTCATATCCACTAGGTTGGCAGAGATTAAGAAATTTTGCCAATCTTCTAAATTATTTGAAAGCTATTACATCAAGGCTTTATAAGGCTAAACATTCCCAGTTATTTCAGTAACTTCTCCAATGCCACAGTTTCTAAATATCATCTTAGAAACTTTAAATGTGTTCATGTATTCCAGTTTGTCCACTCCAAGTCTGATGTCAAAAATCATGCAGTACTGTGGGTATGATCTATTCATTGCAAAACAAGCAAAAGTGCTTGCATTCATGAATTTAATATGAGTTTCAGTACCCTCAAACTACTAAAATAATCTGTAATGTTACTGAGTTTCAAACTCAAACCCCAGGTCTGGCAGTGCTGGTGTACTTTTCTAGAGTAAGCTTACCCAACCACCTGGTAAACACATCTCAAGAAGTTTACTTGTTTTCAACATTTTATGGGAAAAGTTCTATATCATTGTGACATTCACAATTTGAGGATTTACAAAGCTTAAAATGCATCCTTCCCAATCCCTAGATCCCCCTCCAACTCACTTCATGCACATTCTGACTCTATGAAAGATATACACCCCCGCCCCTTTTCTTTAACGGCATCCACATACTCTAAGACTTGCATAGGTTATTAGTCCCTGGGGTCAAAGGGTTCCTGGCTTTGGCAGTAATGGATGTAAAATAATAGTTTAAAGAGAGAACATTTTGACGGGCCATAAATTAAGCTGAATAACTTGGTAAAGTCTAAAGTCCTGTTGAAAGAGAAGACTGTTAAGTTTATTATATATATATATATATATATATGATATATAATTAAATATAATGTTAAATATATATCTAATATATTTGGGAAATATTTAATAAAATTTTAATAAAAGCAGCATCTATTAAAATCTAAGAAGATGTGTGCTTTGAGATCACCTAATAACTTATGAAAATTATCATTGTATGATGATCTCTTCATGTTAAAGAGAGGTCAAAGTATGTAGAAAAGCCAAAAAGGAGGTTAGATGAAGAAACAGGACAAACAGAAACTATAAGATGTTTCTACTATTATCCAAAATATTACTAAATATTTGCATAAAGATTGTAAGAAGGAATAGTACAGTGGACAGAAAATGATTTGAAAGTCACAAGCTAAATACCATGTTTCTGCTGTGAGTAACTATGTCTTAATCCAGAAATTTTCACTCTTTCTCTGCCTTCCTGACATTCTAATACTATTTTTCATTCTGTTGCACTGGCATTAATATATAGACAAGTAATTGAAGTAATCTAATTTTGTTTTTTGCTTGGTATTTGCAGAGAAGTTCAAGGAAAATCACAGAAGGAAAGAATGAATTCAAATTACATTAAAATGTTTGAGGCATTGAGAAAACATTGCTCTATCTCCACCTTAAAGTGAGGGCAAGAATGAACATGTTAGGAGGATAAAGATCGCTGTTCCCTGCTTCACTTTAACAATTTAGTGCAATCACAACGTTCCCCTATTGGCTAAGATCTTATAGGAAAAGAGAACCAGTTCTTTAATTTCTTCTCCAAATGTCTTCCTGTTTATGTTAGCTTCTAAAGAAAATTTTCACTGACTATGTTCTGCATCAGAGGCACTTTTTGGGATTGAAAAAACGCAACCAACTTTAAAATTTGTTTTTCCTTTCTTTTTATTCTTTCATGCTAGAGCTATTCTTTTATTTTTTTTAACCTTCTCTCTACCTTTCCTCTATCATTCTCTCACATTAACTTTTTCTTTTCCATTTCCTGAATCATTGCTTAATTTAGAAGTAAAGGATGCTGTATTTCTTCCACAGTCACTAGAAAAATGAATGGGCTTCTCTTAGTAGCTCACTTTTTCACTAAGTTATACTTAGTTA